GATTTCAAATCCACATGCAGTGACTTACAAGTGATCTGAAATGCTTTACAGGCAGAAAAGGAGAAGGAAATAATGATATTGTCAGTAAAAATAAAGGTAGGACATATCCCTTGCTATTTATTTAAGCTATGGCAATAATTTTAAATGATCTGTATTGTCCTCAGATAAACAAGGTTTTACACGAGAACTAGACAGAATTTATTAAGGATCCAGGATGCCGCTATCCTTTTCACATTAAGAATCTGTGATCAAAAATTAATCTTTAGGAAAAAATCTCCAGACCTAAAAATATGGGAGTTTTGGTATTTTTTTTTTTTTCCCTCTCTCCATGTGGAATTGAGGAGCCTTCTGGCTTGCAGTGGAGTATATTTTATACAGCTAAATTGCTTTTGACAAATGAAACCAAGTTATTGTTAATTACTCAACCTGTGGCCTTTACCAAACTGAAATATATGATTAAACAAAATGGCTCAGACAGCACATTAAGCTTTGAAGAATGATTTTATTTTTTGAGCTCTCAAAGCCTTTTCTTCAGAAAACAGAAAGCATTTTTTGTCATGACAGCGGGATTGTTCAACTCTCTATTTTTAGCCAGTGTCAAAACGCTCAAGAAAAAAAATTGTCAGAAGTAATTTTGTGATCCTTCTGACACAAAAAGCACACGCACAGGCACCCAGATAATATTGCACTCCACTTTGCAAGGGAGAAACATTATGCTTTGCAGCGTGCCTTTTGTGAGCGGGCGCTCGTTTTGAACCCACTGCAATAGGATTTTCCAATTTTGATTGATCATGACAGAAAATGAGCTCCATAGCCATGACTAAACTAAATATCCCCTCTAAGAGATGCAGTATTTCTGAATCATTAATGAGCATAGAACAAATAATGGGGAAACGTGCAGGAACCCCTATCTTTAACTATACTAGTTGCCAGCAATATTCTTGATATTTCTATTTAATAATAAAAAAATGCTTTCAGGGCTACCTACTGCACTGCTGGTACAGATTTTTATTCATCAAAACTAACAATGCAAAATCGTGCATCTGTCACTTGAAGTTCAGCTCTTTGGAAGGAACGGCATAAAAATATCCACAAGTGTCCAACAGCTTTTGCAAATATAGTTAAAATAAGGGGGATTTTTTTTTTTCTTTTCTGAGCTTTCTGTCACAGCAGTAGCAAGAAAAGAAAATCGATTAAAAAATAAACGTATTTATGTGTTTCTGAGCTGAGGAGGGCAGTGCCAAGGGGGGCATTGTGGCTGTGCACCGTCCCCGCTCCTGGGGTGGGTGTCCCAGCCCAGGGCAGCCTGTCCTTCAGCCTGGGGGGGATAGGGATTTTCCCCCCCAGCCTCCCCCCCCCTACCCCCCCCCAAAAAAAAGGTTTATCCCCAGCTTAATATTTTCCATGCCGGACCATGAGCTCACGGCATTAAATCAAAACCGGCGGCGGGAGGGAGCGGTGATAAACCGAGAGGACCGAGGGAGGAGTGGAGTAAGAGGAGCTGGAAGGGGGGATAAAAAAGAGCCGGAGGAAATTAAAACCATCTCAGAGCAAGGTCGGGGGGGGGCGGGAGGGAGGGGGTCAGCCCGGGGAGCAACAGGTTTGGGGGTGCCGGGCAGCCCCCAGGCGCTGCCCCTACCTGTCCGTAGGGCGCTGAGCAACACCAAGAGCTTTTGGGGCATATTATTAATTACTTTACGGCGCGATCGGTGAGCCGGGCTGGCACCACCAGCGGGAAAGCCGGGCCGGCTCGGCTCGGCAAGGCTCGGCTCGGCAAGGCTCGGCTCGGCGCTGCCAGGACGGCTGCACCTGGGACCCGCCCGCCCCCGGCCCGGGGGGGCTCATTGCCCTCCCTCTTAGCGGTCTCGGACAGGGGGAGAGGGGGGGAAGCCCCCCTGCCCGCATCCCTGCCTGCGCCTGCCCGCGCCCCCGCCCTGCCCCGCTGCCCGCAGCCCCCGGCCCTTTCTTCGTTCTTTTTCTTTTTTCTTCTTCTTTTTCCTTTTCTTTTTCTTTTTTCTTTTTCTTTTTTTTTTTTTCTTTTTCTTTTTCTTTTTCTTTTTCTTTTTCTTTTTCTTTTTCTTTTTCTTTTTCTTTTTCTTTTTCTTTTTCTTTTTCTTTTTCTTTTTCTTTTTCTTTTTCTTTTTCTTTTTCTTTTTCTTTTTCTTTTTCTTTTTCTTTTTCTTTTTAATATTTTTATTACTTTTTCTTTTATTTATCTTTTTATTTCTCTTTTTATCATTTTCTTTTTCTCTTTCTCTTTCTCTTTCTTTATTTTTTTTTTGTCTTTTTTTTACTTTTTCCGTTTACTTTTTATTTTTCTTTTTTCTTTCTTTTTATCTTTTCATCTTTTTTCTCTTTTTCTTTTTCTCTTCTTCCTTGTATTTTTTCTTTTTATTTTTATTTATTTAAAATTTATTTTTTTCTTTCTCTTATTTCTTTTTATTTTTATTTAGTTAAAGTTTTATTCTTTTTCTTTTTTCTTTATTTTCCATCTTCATTTTTTACTCCTTATTTTCCTTATTCCTCTTCTTCTTTTCCTTCTTCGTTTTCTTTTTATTCTGATTTTCCTCCTCCTCCTTCTTCTTGTCTTTTTTCGTTTTCTTTTTATTATTCTTTTCCTTCTCATTCGTTTTCCTCTCATTTCCCCGCTTCATTTTCTTCTTTTCCTTCTTCGTTTTCTTCTAACTTTCTTCTTCTTTCTTTTCTTCCCCGCTATTTCCACGCACACATGCCTGCCTGCACCCGGCCGGGCCGGGGCGGACCCTTTCCCGCGGGTACAAGGCAGCCGCGCAGCCCCACGGACATGTGGAAGACCCACGGGGGGATGCGGCCGGGAGGCGGGGAGCTGCTCCTCCGTGCATGATGCTCTCCCGCAGCAGGTGCCCGGCGGAGGGGCCGGCCGTGTGTTTCTGCTGCGGGTCGCATGTATTTTTTTTCTTTAAACACACAGGGAAAGACCCTCTCAGCACCCAATCCCCGCGGAGCAGGGCTGCGAGCTGGTTGTGGTCACGGGTGTGCGCGGGTTTGCGCATCACAGTAAGACCCCCCCCTTCTTCCACCCCTCGGGAGGAGAAGGACCGCGCACAAACCGCGGGCCCACTCGCGCACCGTGCACGGGGCCGAGCAAGCAGCGCTTCGGGCGGCGCGGCCACGCGCGGTCGTTAATTAAGGCGGGCGCCGTGGCGAGCTGAGTGGGCTCGTTCCACGGCTTTTCCCGAGAGGTGTCGGCCCACGGCATCCTCTGCCCACGACCCCCACGGTCGCCCCAGGCTCCTGCCCTCTCCTCCGCCCCTCACCGCGGGCCCGGTGAGGTCTGGGCACGGCCTCCTGCCCCCGGGGGGGAAATGGCCCTTCCGCGGGTGGGAGAGGTCACCCCCCCACACCCCGAAAAAATCTTCCCGTCGGATTACCAGGGCAGGGAGAAGGACACCCGGCTTCCCCGGCCGCCTTTCGATCGCCTCCTTCCCGCAGGCTGCCGGCAGCCGCTCCCGCCGCAGGCTGAGAACGGCAAACTCATCGCCCCGGGGGCCCCCCGCCCCGGGAGGTTATAGCCGTGTGGGGGGGTCGGGAGGCAAACACGGGGCACCCATCCCTTTGCGATTTTCAACTGCTTTTTAATCAATCCGCCTCTCTTTTTTCCCCGACGGCCGATTGCCAACGAGCGGGCGGCACCGGCTGCCCCGCGGGCGCGCAGGGGTTTAACCCCACGTCTCGGGAAGGGGGGGGAGGAGGGGGGGGGGCAGAGAAAGAGTGTGAATGGAGGGGAGCAGCCCGGCAGGCACCGCGTGAGGGCTTCTCCCCGTGTCCGTCCCCGCGGGGATGCCGTGTCCCTGGCAGGAGATGCCGTTTGCCTCTCCTGCCCGCCGCTGTCCGCGCTGCCGGCGGAGGGGCCGGACTCCTTGGGGGGGACTGCCCGGCGCAGCTGCCCGCCGGTCCCCCCGGCACCCCCCAACTAAAACCCGAGGAGGAGCGGGTTTTCGATGCGGTTTTCCTCTTTTTCGGCGGTTTTCCTCTCTCCCCCCGCCCTCCCTCCCGCGCCCCCCCCCCCCCCCGTCAGTCGTTTGCGGGGAAACACTCACGATCTTCCCATCGACCTTTCATGGACGGAGGGGGAAAAAAATCCTCAGGAATCCCCCAAACACTCGCCCCATCCACGTTGTACGAGGCTGCTATTATTTGGGTCAGAAAAAGGTGGATTTCGATGCCAGGTGGGCGCTGGCGGGTTTGCGGGGGACGCCGGGCGGGGAAAGGGTCCGGCCCCGGCCCGGAGCAGCCCCCGGTGCCGAGCGCGGCCCCTCCCCGCCGGCAGCCGGCGGCTCCCCCCGAAAGCACAAGCCCCCCGCCCTCCTTTTCCCGGAGCCCCCGGCGATGTCCCCTCCCGTGGGTCCCGGCCGTCGGGGCTGGAGGCGGGGCAGGTGCCCGTGTGTCCCCGTCCCGCGTGGGAACGAGCGCGACGACGGAGCCGGAGGGGACGTTGCCACCTCAAGGTGTGTGTGTGTGGGGGGAGGTGCGTGGCGGGGGGAGCACGGGGACCTCCACGCTGGACCCAGCTCCGCCTTCCCGCATCCCTCAAACGGGCCCTGGGGGTGCGTGACGTGTGTGTGGGGGGGCGTCCCGTGGGGGCTGGTGCGGGCAGCCCCAGCCATGGCGGGGCGCTGGCCCCGTGGGGGCGGGCGGAGGGTGTCGTGTCCCCCACTCCCCCCCGTCGTGTGTGTGTGTGTGTGTGTCACCCCCCCCCCCCCCCCCCCCCTTTTCTCCGCGGCGGCCGCGGCCATTTAGGAGAGGCGCGGGAGCCAATGGGCGGCCCGCGGCGGCGCCTCCACCGTGACGGCCGAGATTGACGTGTTTCCCACGTCAAATTGATCCCAAGTAGCGGCGGGGGCTCCCCGCGAGCGGGGAACCGGCCCGGCGCCGCCAGGACACCCCCGCCGCCCCGCCGCCGGCTCCCGCCCAGCCCGCCCGCCCGCCCTCCGCCGCTCCCCGGGCCCCTCTATGCCGGCCCGGCGGCGGCGGCGACCGGGGCCGGGGCCGGGGCTGCGGCGCGGCTGGCAGGCGGTGCCCCCTCCCCGGGCACCGGAGCGGGGTTCCCCCGGCGCCGGGCGATGGGTAAGCGCGGGCGGCCGCGGGGAGGGCTCCGGGACGGGCTCCGCGGTGTCGCTTCGCGGAGGGGAAGGGAAAGGGGGGCGGGGGTGGGGGGTGGGAGGGGGGAACCGTGTTGGGGGGGTGTGGGGGCACCGGGACGGACCCTCGTCCGCCGGTCCCCGGGCCCGTGGCTGCGGCGCGGCCCTCCGGGCCGTCGTGGTGGCGGGCGGGGGTCCGGCACGACGTGCCCGGCTGGGAAGGCGCTCGGCGGCCCCGTCCTTCCCCGCTGCCTTCCTTCGCTTTCACTCTGCTCTCCTCCTTGGACTCTTTCGCCCGTTCTCGTTGTATCTCCTTTTTCCTGTCTTTCCTTTTCCCTCTTTTTGTTGTCTCTTTTCCCCTCTCCTTTTTTCTGACATTTTTAATCCTTACCCCCCCGTCTTCATTTCTCCCTTTTCTCTCTTTATTTATCATTTTTTATCCCTTCCTTTCTCCTTTCCTTTCTTCCTTTCTGTTTTTTTTTCCTCTCTCCCTCTATTTTTCTCCTCTCTCGTTCTCATTTTCCTTTCCCCCTTTTCCTTTTCCCTATTTCCCCCCTTTTCCCCATTTCCCTTTTCCTTTTCCCCTTTTCCTTTTCCCCCTTTTTCTCTTTTTCCCCCCTTTCCCCCTCTTCTCCCCCCTTTCCTCCTTTCTCCCCTTCCCCCCTTTTTCCCCTTCCCCCTTTTATTCCTTCGTCCTTTTTCTTTCCCCCTTTTAATTTTTCCTCCTTTTCCTCCTTTTCCTTTCTCCCTTTCCTCCCTCCCCTCCCTTTCCCTCCCCCCTTCCCTTTTCGCCCCTTTTTCCCTTTTCCCAACCCTTCCCCGTCCCACGCCCGCTCGCCGCCTAGACGTGGGCCGGCCGGGCAGCCGGCGGGGTCCACGGCTCGGGCGGCGGCGCGTCCCGGTCCCGATCCCCGTCCCGGTCCCTGTCCCGGTCCCCGTCCCGGTCCCCGTCCCGGTCCCTCCCCGCCGCCGCCGGTGCCCCGCGGGCTGCCCGCCGGTAACGCGCCCCGCCGCAGAGCACCCGTACGGGGAGGTGAACCAACTGGGCGGCGTCTTCGTCAACGGGCGGCCGCTGCCCAACGCCATCCGGCTGCGGATCGTGGAGCTGGCGCAGCTCGGCATCCGGCCCTGCGACATCAGCCGCCAGCTCCGCGTCTCCCACGGCTGCGTCAGCAAGATCCTGGCCCGTTACAACGAGACCGGCTCCATCCTGCCCGGGGCCATCGGCGGCAGCAAGCCGCGGGTCACCACCCCCAACGTGGTCAAGCACATCCGAGACTACAAGCAGGGAGACCCGGGCATCTTCGCCTGGGAGATCCGCGACCGGCTGCTGGCCGACGGCGTCTGCGACAAGTACAACGTCCCCTCGGTCAGCTCCATCAGCAGGATCCTGCGGAACAAAATCGGGAGCCTCTCCCAGCCCGGCCCCTACGACGGCGGCAAGCAGCCGCCCCCCCAGCCCGCCCTGCCCTACAACCACATCTACCAGTACCCCTACCCCGGCCCCATGGCCTCGCCGGCCGCCAAGATGGGGGGACACCCCGGGGCGCCCGTGACCGCGGCCCACGTCAGCCTGCCCCGCTCCTGGCCCTCGGCGCACTCCGTCACCAACATCCTCGGCATCCGCACCTTCGTGGAGCAGACGGGTGGGTACCACGCTCCGGCCCCCCGGGCAGGGATCGCCCCTTCCCCTCCCGGCCAGCAGCTCTTTCGCCCCCCCTCCCCCAAGGCCCCCTCTCCCCCAATTTTTTTTGGGGGAAGGGGGTGGTGGTGTGTTTTTTTTTGTTTTGTTTTGTTTTTTGTTTTTTTTTTTTTGTTGGATCGCCGCACTCCTCTCCGTCAGGACGGGGCGGCGGGGCCAGATGCGGTGAGCCTTCAGACATCTTGAACTTTTTATGAAAAATGTGGAAAATATTTTCGTAGGGATGATAGATTGCCGACCGCAAATTCGAAGCCCTGAATTTCCTTTTGCAAAGGGGAAAAAAAAAAAAAAAAATGGAAGGGGGGTGAAAAAGGGGGGAGAAAACAAACCAAGGGAGAGGAAAAAAGGGGGAAAAATAAGGCGGCATGCCACCTCGGAAAACAGGCACGGCGGTCTCCGAAATCCCCCCGAGAAATTGCCCTGGTTTTCGTAAAAACCAAGCCGGAGAGGAGGATGGTCGGAGCGCCGCGGCCCCGAGCCCGGCTGCCCCGCCGGCTTCGGGGGGGCACACACGCGGGGACGTGGTGGGAGCGAGGGGTGCGAGTCCTTTTATCCTTCCAAAAGCCCGAGTAAATCAACCGCATGCGTTTCCCTCCGTGCAATCATTTATCTTTAAAATTCCGATGTCACTTTTATAAATCTCCTTCGTCAGAAGAAAAATTGGGCCTCCTAAATTATCGGGAGCATGGAAGTGACCGGGAGGGGGGAGACACAGCGCGGAGAGCCGGGCAGAGGGACCGGGTTTGGGGGACACACACACACACACCCCACAGCCTTCTCCCCTTGGTGAGGTACCAAGGCAGGGTACACCTAATTTCGGCCGTCAGGACCGAGACTTTTCCGGGTCGCCCCGGCCCCGGGGGCGTGGGAGGCAAGGTAGATCTGTGTTCCCCCCCCCACCACCGCCGCCATCCTCATCGGGTTTATACAAAGAGGCACTTGCAAACCCGAGCTTTCCTCAATTTTCACCCCAATCCCTGTTCCGGGGGACTAAATTTGCTCGGGCCTGGCCGCGGCCGGATCCCGGGGCGGGGGGGGGCGGGGGTTGGTGGGGGCGATGGATAACGCTAACGGAGCCGCTTCCCTCTCCTCCCTAGGGGCTCTGGCTGGCACAGAGGGGTCTGCCTACCCCCCCAAAATGGAAGACTGGCCCAGCGTGAACAGGACAGCCTTCCCCCCGGCCCAGGCGGTCAATGGCATCGACAAGGCTGCCATGGAAGGAGATATCAAATACCCGCAGGTAACTGCTGGGGGGGGAAGGGAGCAGGAGGGGACAAGGAGGGGGGCAGGAGGGGACAAGGAGGGGAGCAGGAGGGGACAAGGAGGGGAGCAGGAGGGGACAAGGAGGGGAGCAGGAGGGGACAAGGAGGGGGACAGGAGGGCACAAGGCGGGGAGCGGAGGTCGAATTTCCCCCATTCCCCCTCCGCCCGGGCTCCGCACCGCCGCGGCCAGCCGGACCCCCGGGAGGGGCAACCCCGACACCCAGAGCCGGGTGGGTTGGTTTTGAGCCCCCCTCGCCTCCCCTTTCCCAGCACAACGATGCTTCCCCTCGTACCCTACCGTGTCTCTTTGTGCCTGTCTCCAGCCCGCCCCGGGGCTCTCCTCGGTGGGCGGCTTTCTCCCGGCCTGCGCCTACCCCCCCTCCAACCAACCCGGCGTCTTCGGCGGGGCGCCCGGCGGCTACATCCCCCCGGGCCCCCCCTGGCAGCCGCAGGGCAGCCCCCTCGCCCACCACGGGCCCGGCGTGGCGGTGCACGGCGGCGACCTGGCCACGGCGATGGCGTTCAAGCAGCCCGGGAGGGAAGGTGAGCCGTAGTGGGGGGCACACACACGCACACACGGCGGGGGGAACCCCCGGGGCGGCGCGGGGGGCGGCTGCGGATCCCCCCGGGGCCTCCGGAGGGGAGGGAGTGGAACTGGAGGGGGGGTGCTGAGGGAGTGCGTGCGGGTCCCCCACCTTCAGGCAGAGGATATTTGAGGTTACCTCGCTGAATATTTTAAATATCTATAATATTTCCCCTCCACCCCCATGAGGGCTCTGGGGCTGGCGGTCCCCAGGGTTTGCCCTGCCGCCACCCCCACCCCGGGCAGACCCGGTCCCCTCTGTCCCTCAGCTCATGCCGAGGGCTGGGAGGCCCCCCCGGCCCCCCCGCCGCAGTATTCGATGGGTCCGTCCCCAGCCCCCCCCCCCGCAGCCCGTCCAGCGCCTTCCCGCCCGGTCTCAGCCGGCACATCGGGATTATAAAGTGGAAATCAGTTTTTCTGTTCATCCTCACTCGTGTGCGCTGGAAATCGCCAGGGAAGAGGGAGGATTTAGGGCGAATCTTTAATTTTTCGTCGTTCCCCCGCCCCCCGGACAGGGACGGTTTTCTCGGCGGAATTTGCGGGGTGCGGCGGGGCAGGACAGGAGCTGCGGCGGCAGCTCGATTTAAAAAAAAAAAAAAAAAAAATCAACCAAAAAAACCCCAAACCAAAACAAAAAAAGATATAAACGATACAAAGACTTACTAACGGCATCCATTTTACCGGGGAGCCGTGCAGATAACGCAGGAAAATCCCGACTAAGAATTATTAACATGATAAATCCCCCGCCGTGGGGTGTAGTTAAAGATAAACTCTCCATGAGGATCACATGGATGCGGTTTGAACGCATATAATAGAGGCTATTAATTGGGACGTTTCTCCTGCTAATTATTTCGGTTCATTGATGGAGGCTTTATTTCCTCGATCGGCGGTTTCGTTTTAAAAATTCCAACTCATCTGTTCTAGCTATAAAAATCCCATCGATATCTTTCTCCTTTTCGTGGTGTTAGACTTTCTATTATTTTTCACATTTGTAATTTATATCTCACTTATTGGTCCATTTCTTTATTGTTGGTTTTCTGGAGTTTAAATTTTTATTTATTTATTTTAATACGACCCTTTACCATTTCTAACTACGGCAACCTGCTGTGAGTTATAACATCAGCTGTCCCGGGGAAGAGTTATTGCAAGTATCAATGAGTGAAAATAGATAATTGTAAACCAATTCTCTGGAAAAATAATTAAAAAACAGGACATGAGAAATCGAGAGGGAGAAAGGAAAGGGGAAGAAAAAAACGAAAGAAAGAAAAGGAAAGACAGAAAGCAAGAAGGAAAAAAATAAAAAAAGGAATGAAAAAAGACAAGAAAACGAACAAAGAAGGAAAGATGACCCGCCTATATTTAGTATATTTTTTGAGGTGTTTTAAGTGTCTTGGAGCCTGGGTTTTTTGACTTGCTAATCTTCAAACTGTCTCTGCCAAAAGGCCCACAGACTTTCTTTAAACTTTTGTGTTTTTGTGGTTTTGTGTGTCATTTCTTTCTTTCTCTCTTTTTTTTTTTTTTCTTTTAATTATTTTTTTCCTTTTTAATTGAATTTGGATCGGTTTTCTGGTTCCACTACTTATCTGGGACAAGTCAAATATCAGATTATCCAGCAAAACGATCCTCCCCTCAGCCCTGAGCAGGGGGCTGGTGGAGGAAGGGCGGCCTCCCGGTGTGTGAGGGGGCACCCGGGCTCCCCGCTTCCTGGCCCCTGGTACTCTCGGGGAGGGGGGGAAAGGCAGCAAGAGGGCAGGAGAGAGAAGGAAAGAAAGAAACAAGAGCAGAAAATAAAGATATAAGGAAAGAGAGAGAAAAAAAGATAAACTCGGCTGGGCACTTTCAACTTCTAGTTCAGACCTTTTCCGATTTCACAGCTGCGGTTTCCCCAGAAAATTCTCCCTGCTTATCCCTGTGCCCACAGCGTCCCTGGGACACTTTGCATCTCCTCTGTGCCCTGAAGGCCTGTGTGTGGGGTGTGGGGGGACCCACGGGGCCTGAGCCAGCTGTGGGATGGGCCTGGAATGGGCTGAGGCTGGGAACCCTCTCCTCTCCCCTTCCCTTTCCCCATCTCCTTCTCGACACTGGTGGCACATGGGACAGGATCTCTGTGTGGCTGGGATGGGTCTGGGTCACCTCTCCAGGCAGACCCAGACTCCTGGCAATGGCTGAGGGGCTCTGGCATCATCACAGTTGCTTGGGAGATGCATCCCATCTGCTTCTCTCTCCGTTTCCCACGGAGAGCTCTGATATGTGGAGTCTGGGAGCCCCTTTCTGGAGGGATGGCTTTCCTGGGGGGCAGGTGGATGGGGGGGGTCAGAGGGGTAAAGTGACTCCTGGGGGGCTGTTGGAGGAGGGTCCGCATGCATGCAGATATGGGATGTGCCTGGCTGCAGCAATGTGTTTGGAGTCCATCAATCCACTGCCTTGTTGTTGTCTTTTATTCTCCTATGCCTCTCCCCCCTCCCCCTTTCTGCAGCTGTGGACAGAAAACCTGCCAGCCCTGTGGGGAAACCTCCGGACCCCCTAAATACCCTCCATGGACTCTCTATCCCAGCCTCCTCTTCCTAGAGCCGTGGAGCAGTCATCTAGAGACAGGGACTCCTGGGAAAAGCACCTGCAAACTGTAATCGAAGCCCAAAGTGCCACCAAACTGTAGCCAAAGTGCCACCAAACTGTACCTGAAGCACCACCGCCTCCGGCAGGTACCTGTGGGGACGAAGAGACAGCCCGGGTGGTGAGAGGTGCCATACTCCCACGGCAATTCCCTGCGCAGGGATGTTTGCTCACACTGCCCGGAGGGATGTTTTGCCTCCATTGGATTGGAAAAGGGTGACAGAAGAGACTCAGTCTTCTTTCTTTATTTTGCCTTTTTTTTTTTTTTTTTTCCCCTTTGCTTTCAGTTTTTCTTTCTCCTTCCCATGTCCCTGAAGACCATTGGATGCAGGGCAGTGAACACTTCTGTCCCCAGCCCCATCTCTCGGAGCATCACCAGCTCTGTCCCAGACCAAGGGAGCCCGTTTCCCAGTTTCTGGCTTCCCCAGGCCATGGCCAGATAATCTGTGTGATGGAGCCTTCTCTGCCCCAGCCTTCCAGTGCCTCTGCCCCGGAGTGCAAATGGACCAGTGTGCCACAACAGTTTATGATCTATTTTTATAATAACAAACCTTAATAAAAAGTGACTACCGTGGGCACACGCCACTCACCTCCTTCCCTTGGGGGCTGGCCGAGCACTGTGGCTTCTCTTGGTGCCCCCCCAGCCTCAGGCAGCATCTGTGGGTTCCCTGTAAGCAGCAGAGACCCGGTGGGATCTTGGGGGCACTTGGCTGGGAGGAATCACTCTGTGCCAGCTCTGGATTTGTGCACCCACCCACCGGGGGGTTGGGGGCTGGTGTTGTAGCCGTGCTCCTTGTGTCTAATTGCGTGGGCAGATTTGGGGTTCTCCTCCACTGAGGATGAGGGCTGTGGCTCTGCTGGGTGACTCCTGAAGATGTGGGGCTACGGGACATCTCTGGGCACAAACAGGGAGGTGGGTGGCCACCCCCTCCCAAGCCCCAGGCTGGCTCCCACCTGCCTCACCTGGCCACGGGTGAGCAGGGGGCTGGAAGTAGGGCTGCCCCTCGCAGCCCACCCACCAGGGTTTGTTATCCCCCTCCTGTCCAGCCGGCTGGGGCGCGTTCAGGACGGGCTCCACTGGGCTTTCACATTCCCTGGCTCTACCAGCCGCTGCCATTGGCTTCGGTCCCTTCATTGTCTGGAGAAGGGGAAGGTCCTACAGCCGGGCAGGGAAGAAATATCCTGGCAGGAGAATACACGCCTGCGTTTTTTGCAGAGAGTGTGTCTTTGTGGGAGGGAGGGAGCAAGAGGGATGCCAAATTTGACATCCCACCCCAGGAAATTATTTTGCCTTCAACCTCAGGGTGGCAAAGTTCAGTTTTGCCTCTGCTGCTGCAAAGCCTCCAGCCAGAGCTGGTCTTTGCAACTGACTACAAAACCCAAGAGGGAAAGGAGGGAATTTTAAGTAGGCGAGAGCACTGTCCCAGAGCAAGATCTGCCGCCAGACTGCCACTGACTGCATTTTTGAAGGATGTGAGGATGGACGAGTCACCTGAAACAGATGACTAACAGCTCTGGCTAGTCCCCTGCCAGGCTTATCCATTTAAAGCTGCATTTGAGTATGTGGCAGAGCAGCTTTGGAAAAGATGACTGGCAGCAACACCCTTAAAACTGGAACGCAGCACGCACGGCCTTTCTGTCCACCCCGACACCACAGCAGCTGGGGAAATACAACCCCTCCCAGGGAAGAGGGGAGCATGGGGACAGCCCAAGCCCTGCTTCTCTTGGGACTCTGCTGGTCTGGGAGATCAGAGGAGCCCTTCACTTCCCCAATGCTGAAACCTTACTGCTCATGAGCCTGAAGAAACTTGCCTGTCCTCTGTACAGGGCTCCCCAAAAGTGCTTCTGCAGGGAAGCTGGGAGAAGCTGGTTCCCCGTGCTGAGCTCCCATGCTGTGGAGGGGGCTGGGTAAATGAGGATGCCCACCAACGTGGTGGCAGCCCATCATAAAAAGGCTGAAATAGCCTGAAAATGCCGTGCTGTGCCCCACAGTGGCTGTTCTGTTCTGCCAGCCACGTCTAGCCCTGCAGCACCTTCTGGCTCCTAAAGCCATTGGGGTAATTCAGGGCTGGATGCACGCTAAAGCCCCCACCTCCCAGCACCCCACGCTCAGCTTGATGTTTGCTGTTCGCTGGGTTTGCAGCAGCCTGCTCTGTGGGGACCCAGCTGTGACTCCTCACGTCCTCCACCCGACGTGGGATGGGGCAGTGCTCCTGCACTCTGTGGAGACGGGACTGGGGGGCTCTGGCAGACGTCTGGGACGAGTGAGACATGAGTGCTGCAGTCAGACTGAGATGTAGTGCAGAGTCTGATCCTTTTAATTAGTGTCTTGCTGGGATGGCGCGAGAGTGCCTGAGTTATTCCCTTCCAAGGCTGTCATGAACCTGCCAAAAACCCTGAACAACAACTCGGTGCTTAGCATCCGCCACAGCCCCAAGGCAAAGACAGCCCTTCGCAAGCCAGAGGAGTGCTGCACATGGGCAAGGCACCATGTCCTGAGCCTGGGGACCCAGCCTCGGGGCTAAGACTGCTGGGGCTCCGTCCATGCCATGTCAGGAATGTGTTGTGTGATGGGATGCCTCGTGTGATAGTGGAATGCATAATGTGAGGGATGATGTGTGATGGTGGGATGCACTGTGTGATGGTGGGGTGCATCATCTGATTGGGATGAATCATCTGATGGGATGCATTGTGTGCCCACTTCTCCAGAGGCTTTTGAAGGAAGCTCATGGCAGCGGTGCTGTCTGGGACATCCTGGGGAACCCCTGCTAAGGCGGAGGCCAGTGGTAGCAGAGCCATGAGCCCCTTCATCCCCACAGCCACGCAATGCCTGGGCAGCCGGCTGGAAGCCAGCTGTACTGTCACCCAGCCCCATCCCTGTGGTGTCAGCACACCTCGGGTGGAATTTGCCACCAGAGGGAGACCCTATTGTTCCACAAACACGTACCAGCAGCTGGCTGGGCAGCCTCCCCTTTCCCAGCTGGGAACAGGCAGACACGCAGAGCATATTCCCAGCCACAGCAGAAGCCGGCTCTTCCGCAGGTATTTGGGGCTGAGGTACCACGAAGAGCTGCTGTGACAATCTGTGGGATGCTGCTCAAAGGCGGGCAGGCACGGGGAGCAGAGCGAGGCATGCTGGGTAACAGCAGAGTGGCTTTTGTGCAGTCAAGCTTCTGGTTTCTGTTCTTTTCTTGACTGTTTGACTGTCAGTAGCCTTTATTAAAAATGCAGTTTTAACAATTATGCTTAGGGAAGGGACTTTCTTATTAAAGCAACACACCTTTTGGGGGGATTGTTTCAGCCACTGAATTTAATTCAGGTCTTTGGAAGCTTGTAGCTGCCTTCCTTTTCCCTGCCGTGATTTGCTGTGAGAGAGGAGTTTTCACAAGGAAGCTGTGGGTTGGTTATCTGTCCTGACTGATCCTATCGCAGAGCTGGACGGGCTCCATTTGGGATCAGCTGCACAGACACACACACCCACAATTGCTCACCTCGAAGCCTGTCCCCCGCTGGCCCCCATTTCCCTGCCTGGCAGCATTTCTGGTGCAGGCAGAGCAACCGAAAAGCAAAACCCAGTGGCCTGTCCCCATGCAGATCTGCTGTCGCTTGTTGAGGCAGGTTGAGGACACCATGGTTGGGTGTCCCCAGCGAGGAGGGTTAAGGAGGAATCTTGCTGGGTGGGAAAACACTCTTGGTAGCTGTTCCCCCCCACCAGGAGCAAGCCCCATGCTCCCCCCTTGCCTGCTGCAGGAATGTGAGCCTTGTGGTACAGGCTGTGTCTTGTCGGCTGTACAAACACCCAGTTCAGCCCAGCCCAGTGATGGGTGGGACAACTGGACTTGGGCTGAGCAGAGGTCTGGACAAGCAATGCATCTAAGAGAGCAAAATGGGGGTCCCGGTGTGGATGCTGGCAGCAGGGCATCATGGCCCGGCAGCAAGAGCTGCTACTGAGATTACTGGGTGCTCCCAGTTAGAAATTTAGACATTTACAGTTGGAAATGGGCATGGCTCTCTCCAGTTGGAAGTCCAGGATGTTCAGAGTTCACACTCAGGTCTGAACATCCGGACTGAGGAGGGGAAAGCCACCCCTGCCCAGCACTCAGCCTTTTCTTCTTGTGTCCAGAAGGAAATTGGGCTGATCTGAATGCAGACAGCGTGGAAGGGGAACTTAGAGGGGCTGGGGGGCACTTACAGGAGATCTGAGGGGTAGAGGGACTGGAATTTGCTGGGGGTGGATAATTCTCACCTCGAAACCTCCCTCGGGTATTTTGTATAGCTAATAGAGAATTTTCTCATCTCACAAGAATGAAGACCTACCAAAGTTGAGAGGATGGTTCGTTGCCTCACTTGCTCCCTAAAGAGAGAAGGGAAGATGGCATTTTTGAATGGCAAAGGAGGGGCATGTGGAGAATCCCCAGGGGGAACTCAGTCCCACCCCACACACTTCAGCCAAGTCATTCTCCATCCCAGAAGAATGCTGGGAGCAAAGACCCCCCAAATAAATCCCAAAATAAAATCAGTCTCTTAAGTAGGGTGACGTGAAATGCTGCTCTGCCTCTCCACGATCCAGACTCACAGCAAATTCCTCTCTGTGCAAGCAGACTGACATAATCCAGAGAAAATTGGGCTTGATTGGAGTGGAACTTTTTGAATTTATTTCAACAAAGTGAGAGGGTGGAAACAATCCACACTGACACTTTTTCAGCAACAGTTTTGTCAAAATCAATACCATCCCTTGGAACATGTCAATTTTGATGAAATGGCATTTTCTGACAGAAAAAAAATGAGGTTGAAACTGTTTCCATCAGCTCTACCTGCCCCATATATCTTTAGCACCGTTTCTTTCGAGAGCACAGAGCAGGATGGAGAACATTACAGACCTCGTTCAAAGACCTGCACTTTGTTACTGGAGACTCGCTGGTGGACCACATATTTATTTTCTTTTTAGCGTGCTAAGAACCATAAAGGTTTAAAACCATCTCTCTGGTTAGAAACAAGCCGTTCTGTGGAAGTGGGGCTCACAGACGTTTGGCATGAGTACAGGCTGCTCTCACGGGGTCTGCCCCTGCATCGCCCTGTGCTTCGAGCCATCCCCTACAGCTCCGGGTGAGGCCCCTGCGTGTCTCACCTTGCTCCGGTTTATTTGCAAGTGTGAGGAGGAGTTCAGAACAGGAGCTGGCTGGAGGAGAAGTGGTGTCCTCGGACATCCAGCGATGCTGATGCTAGCCCGGGAAAGAATAGCCCCCCCCCCCCCCCCCCCCAGCTTCGTCCTGCATAACCTTGGGTGTCCCCGTCGGGGCTGGTGAGTCCAGGCCACCACCAGCGGGTGACGGGAGGGCATTTGTTCATCATTAAGAGCCAAGAATTGATGGGCTCCGAGATCCGGCTGCCTCCTTGCTCTGGCTCTGAGTGCAGCAACAGTAGGAGCTTGGGAAAGTGTATAAAGTGTATTTAGGCACACAAACATACTCACAGATATACCTACATGCATATATATATATATATATGGATAGATGTATACATATATGTGCATATATATACACCTATAGACACTAAA